TCACATCTTAATATTTGTTTAACACATTCTGTTTATTCTATTTCAGTATATCCACATGTTTCCGTGTCATTGATTATTTTGTGTTATTTTTTTAATTATTCGTTGAGAAATTTGGATAGTTTCCAGGGTATCAAAATTAAAAATCTAATTAGTCCGACAATTAGATAATGAAAAAATATTAGACACGTATTTTTTTATTTACTCATATTAAGTTGCAATACTTAGATAAAATGGTCGTTACGTCATAACGTGCAACAAAATGTGGCACGTTGTGACGTCACACGATTTAGTTTTGTGAGAAAAGAAAAAATACGTGTATAAAGTTTTAAACGAATGTACCATACGGACATTATAATAAGATTTAGGAAACTACCCTATTGAAATACTTTGGTCGAAAGGGTATTCGAATCTCAGTTTGCAGTCGTAATTCCAATCTTGCTTTTGCTGTCGTATTGTCGACAAATGACGAGTGATTTTTCTATTATTAACCATCATTGTCTACGTTTTAAACAATAGGTAATATCCAAATTTAAATCACAACAAAATACGACTGAAAATCGACAATCAGGCTAACAGCTACATAAAATATTCTGTACAAACCGACACTCGGACAGCTTGCCGTATAATACGTATTTTTATCTCAAGGAAAATAATAAACAAACTGATTTCATGATTTTCACCAGAACAAGATTATACTTGGAAGGAATAATTATGTTTATTGGTTTTCTCACGTAACTGTGTGGTGTAACGCAATGACGCTCATGCTTATGAGCTCCGAGCGTACTTTGAAACTAGTCGAGTTCTACGTCAGACAGTAACTTAGTATGTCTCCCAAAGGTACTTATACAAATAAGGGTTGTATATGCCATTTTCATTTCGTTTGACATTCAACGAAATTTGTTTAAGAAACTGCAAGGTAATGTTGTACTGTACCTATGAGAGGTACTGGGTCATGATGTATGGTCTATAACAACAATCAGCCACTGTGAGGTAGAGATCTAGTACTAATAGCATCCTCTAAGCTTCCCGTGGTCTAATTGTGTTCCTTATTTCTCCAAGCAGCCTGCTACCTACAACTTTGACCATCTTTGGCATTGACTGCCAATAGAAAACTGTTGAAGGCAAATCCACCCATGGCGTTAACGTGTTAAATATTGCGTCACCTTTTTACGCTGACTTATGATTTTTTGTGATCGGAATTAAATCCCAAGAAACAATTTTTCAAGAACAGCAAAATTCAAGTTTTCTCAGCCCAAATTTTCTTTGATTCGACCTCCTTCGTCAGCTACTAAAGTATTTGTTCATTTAACAAAAGATAAAGTTTAATTAGGAAAGGTTACGAGAGGAATGAAAGGTAGGCACTTATGTCGAGAGTTTCTGAACGAATTGAAACTTCTTGATAGGAAACTTTCGTAATTAATCTCTTGCAATTGCAGCTGGTAGCTGGTAACTTTGTAAGGTGTTTCGTTTCTTTTTCGTACCTAATAGTTTTTGATGATCTTCCCCGAGTGTTCGACATTTTGTTACATTGGTGGATTAATGATTGTGATTCGCAATGATTGAACCATGTCGTCAATTTCCTCTTATTCGCTTTTACCCAAAAAGAAGCAAGGAAAGAAGAAATCTTAGTCCAATTTCTTTTCCCATAATTAGTGGGTCCCTACGTCACACAATAATAGCCCTTTATTGCTTAATCTGTAATAGTTCGTTCCTAACCTGACCCATATGTGTATTTTGACTATTTGTCCTTTTGTCTGCAGACCCTTTGGGACCAGTTTCCGAGTCTCCAAGGGACCTATGCAAACCCTATCAAGGAGTAGGTAAGATATGAGTGATAACCAGTTTAATTAAGTTAGTTTTCAATGGAGGGTATCAAGAATCGACATGTCCCTTAGTAACAGGATAACATGATACTCGCGTCCTTTTTTCCGGGAAGGAGTAGGCAAAAGTGGTAAAGATGTGCGATGTAGCTCACACACTTCACCACTTGTAAATGCCATGTAATAAAACAAAAAAAGTCTATTGTCATGAACTGAGTAGGTACGTATAAACATAAACCATTTTTTTTAACCAACAACTAAATATAAACCATTTGTTTTTAAGGGGGGAAAATTATCGAATTTCTTTTCCCGCCTCAACGAGGTTGTGTCAGACTCTTACTGACTAAAAACCACCCCGTTCCTACTTCTGCACTTCGAGCCGGGGCCCCGGTAACCCGTTAGGTTCTCCGCGGCAAAACTAATCGAAATCTTTTCGAGACAGACTCCTCTAACGACAACCATAGAAGAGATTGACCATACTATCCTAATTTGGCAGGTGGATTGAAGGTCGCAGTTTTAAAGGTCCATTAATGAACGCTGCTGTTTGGTTTCTATTTAATGTATAGTTCCTTAGTCTTACGACAAGTATGAAACATCTTCTGGTGTCATACTGGTGAGATGAGAGGTGAGATGTTTCCTACTCTTTTTTTGACGGGTAAAAATTATCCAATGGCTTGTCCCACCTTGGGTGAGGCGAGAGGGAGTGTCATACTCTGACTAAAAATTACCCCGTTCCTGCTCTTCGAGCTGAAACCTGTGTAACCCGTTAAGTCTTCCGCGGCTCCGCAATATTTTTACCTCAGTTTTCGCAGATTTTCCACTTAAACCCTAAGGTTGACTGGTAGAGAATGCCATATGGCATTAAGTTCGCCTTATGTACCATAAAAAAATTATGTACATTAAAGAATGAATAAATAAAATATTTTTTACTCATTCGTCTCCAAATGGCATATCCCGGCACGACAGGACCTGGTTCGGCAGTTGCAACGGCGACCAGTCGACCATCGAGTGCTTTTATAACTTACAATAAATAAATATTACGCACACAATAGGTAAACAGTACAATGTATGTATTTACATACATACCTACTATTATGCAAACCTGTTTACTATTTGTCATCAACAGATCGTTACTATATTTAGAAAGATATTATTATATTTTATCGATGAAAACTACAGTTATACAGTAGGTAATATGAACCTGTAGAGTACCTAAGTAAATCAATAATTACAATTAGAAGTTATTATGGACCAGGAGTCAATGAAAACTACATGATGATTTAAAAAATGAATGATTTGAATTTCATTTGTTCCTATTTTCAATGCTCTGACATTTAATAAATGGTTCCTCCTTGCAAACCGCCAGCTTTACAGAGATAAGAATAACATAGGTTAGAAATAATATTATTAAATGTTCAAATACCTAAACGACATTGTAATATAAATATCAGTTACATTTACATTCATACTAGAAATATTTAATTCAATTGTTACCTGTTTACTATCACGAATTTGTTCATCAGTCGGAATGTTCGAATCAATCGATTCTAAAATTAGATAGGAACTTCTTCGTAAAATTATCTACTCTGTGGTGTAGATACGAGTTGTTTTAATATTTATTTTTAAAAATCGTAAGCTTTATCGATTCTGTACTGTGTCGGCATCTGTCAAAATTTTTGACAGATCGAATTGAGTTTCTCAAACTTTTGTTTCAATCATTGTAACTAATAGAGGTATCTATTTGATTTCCCGGAAAACAGTTTTTGTTTATGCCAGAAGTCGTGTTTCACTTAAAATTGAGAATTGTTTAGACAAAGAAATCCTTCAGTTCAATGGAATTTTACATGTAAATCAGTCAGAGAGGCACTCGTTAAAAGACACCATTACTACTGTGCAATAAAACTAACGATCCACAGTCCGATCGCAACTATACATCAACAAACAGACAGACAAACAAACCCGGTATGGATTGAACCTATTAACAGCGCATTGAATTGTCGAAACGTGACAGCTTAAAAGATTATCGCCATACTAACCTTATGAATGTGTAGATTTCGCACTGCCGGGGCCACGACACACACAATACCAATTGTCAACGTCGCGGTATACACAGGAATAGTGTTTATTTGATTTAGGTGAGGTTTTCTGTGTTATCACGCGGCCGCGTTGTTCCGCACTCGCGGTGAGAGACGCTACCGCCGCGGAGCGCTATCGCGGACTGTGGCGCCGAGAGCTGCCGATGTGTGGCTGGATGGGTCGGCAGGCCGCGACACCGCGCATGCGCGCCGGCCAAGGTCATGCGCGAGAATACCGCTTGTGTACAGGCGCCGTGTTTACACACCGACTATGACCACTACAAATAACGCCGCCACCATTGCGCATAAAGTACCCGCGATGTTTGAATTACGAGATTAATGGCGAGTAATGTACTGGCACGGAGGTCTGGTGCACAGTGCTGGAGCATTGGGGCTCTGTTCAAGTTATCAGCTGCACTGGGAGGTGTCGGCGGTTATCACCACGCCCACCGCGGACAGCGAGCGATTATCTCACTAGTTGAAGAGGAAGTCCTCGGCGATAAGCGGCACAAAATATTTCCTTCACAGTCCATTAAGCTGGTTTTTGTTAAACCTACAACTTAATTAATCTGTTAGTGTCAGGAAGTCACAGTACAATTATAAAACTAATACTGGATCAAACTTTTTGAACAAAACTAATGAATCTGGCTTTAAATTTTTAAAATACTATTAAAACATTAAAAACAAACAAGTAATAATTTATCTTTTCACAGCACAATCAACCAATTTGTGATTATTATAACATTTTCTTACAAAAGACTTGACGGCATGATTGCCATCTTTAAGTAAGGCACTCAAAATCTGTGCCTAACGAGATGGATCATCCGGTGATAAAGGATTAGCAGACCTATGGATAACCCCAACACCAGTAGAGTTACAAATGCGTTTCCAGTCATTGACAATTTAAGCACAAAACGGGTGAATGTAGAGTTTGAGTAGAAAATAATTAAAAAGTAACTGTACATATAAATAAATAATATATTTGATACAAAACCTCCACCAAAATAAAACTTAACAACAAATCTAATATATTAACTCTCTTAAATAACTACATATTCCTAACAAATAACACAATAACAGAAATATAAACCCATGGGACTTCAATAGCTCTCATAATTATGATTTCATAATGCGTAGAAGATTTACTGATTTTGATTCTATCATATATGTCTAACTAGATTGTCATGAATTCAGACTAGGTACTAATTCAAAAATCCAGTTATTAATCCTTTAACTCAGCACGTATATAATTTGAGACTCCGTCTTAAACAGTGGTGTTTGCTACCACAAGATCAACGAGACAATAAATGATATCTATAAATTAAACTAAGACAAAACAAAGATCAACAAAAACTCAAAAAATAAACAAAAATGTATCTTAAAAAATAAATAAATAAAAAGTTTGAGATCCACAGACTCACAGCCTGAATCAACTACGAACTTAACTAATTCATAAATTAATAATAAGTTATTAATAAATACGTTGTAAATACTAAATAGAGACCATTCGTTAATTAAGAAAAATAACTAGAGTTGTCAAAGAAACGGCAGACTTTAATAATCAATCTCAATTCAAAATCAATAAGTCCATGTTTTTGACAGAAAGTCAATAGAACTGAAGTCAAAAATCGACACCAAACTTAAGATTTTGTAAGGAAGTTGCTTACTAATTCGGCTGTACCGACAATTCATTTACTTATAAAAATAAACAAGTTACAACCTTGATCTCACCTTAATTTAAAAGTAAAAAACTTTATATTTAAAATCATAAACCTATTCTACTTATCAAGTCTGTTATTCCCCAAGGCTTCAGTTAGTACACAGGTTACAATTACACAATGAATTTAAAATAAAAAAATAATAAAGGTTTATCATAAACTCATAATCGCAAACGAATATCAACCCTAAGACCTCAAAGAATAACAAGACAGTATCAATCTAATAAAATATCACAACACAGTAAAGTGTTTGATCACGAACAATAAAGGACAACTAAAATAAATAAATATTAATAGAAAACTAAACTACAAAAGAAAAGCAATAAGAATCAATATTGCATGTAAACTGGTCCAGCCATTTACAAATTTTCGTCGAGCAATTGCATTTTTCGTTTCATTTTCCACCTTAGTAACCGTTTTGCTTGCGGTATGGCGGTGTCATGCTCATCCGTGCAATGTCTTTTTAGCTCAGCATACTTTCTGAACCTAGACCCACACAGCAGACAATCAACGATTGCCTTCCTGACATTATGCACGGTCCATTCATGGTCCCATTTCTCCTTCAAACTTTTGAAATAATTACGGCAGAACCTACACCTAAACTTGGTGGTCGACATCTTAGTATGAGAGCACCTAATATGCTTGTTGAGCATGGATTCAAAATGGAACACCTTGTCACAATACTGACACTGAATAGGATTTGTATTGTTATGATACTCCATGTGTTGAGTGATCATTTTCTTTGAATTAAACTTACGTTGACACAAGTCACATTGGAAGTACGTGGTACCGTGGATTTTCTTGTGTTTAGAGAAGTTGCTGGAATCACTGAAGGATTTATCGCAGAAGGTACATTTGTAAAGGGTGAGCTTGGCATGTTCCCTGAGGTGAGCCTTATACCTGTCTATTTTAGTGAATACCTTCTCCTGGCAGATCTCGCAGCGGATGTTGAGGACCCCGAACTTGTTGACTGGGTTCTTCGCGAGGGTGCTTCTTATGACGTGCTCGATCAAATGTCTCTTGAGGTCACCGATCCGATCGAACTTTTTCAAACATACTTCGCAGGTCTGGAAGAGCAACCATGTTTTAATAAATTAAAATAGCATTTAGGTTCGAAATATATACACCTGGTTTATCTCAAAAGCTGAATTGGATGAGTATGTATGCATACTACATCCGTAAAGATGGGTACAAAAATACTACAATTGTTTCTAACTACATAACTCATAAGGCTAAGAACACAGCACATTCAACCACTGTCAACCTCAATGGAGAAACAGACATGTCAGTAGCCACTGAAGCACCTCAGGTGGTACGCCATTTAAAGTAATGTCAGTATGTACTGTACACATTACATACAGGTCGATGAAATAGTACCATTGCGACTCCACATCGACGCTACTAAGTACAGAATACAATGGACAGTTAAGATCTGATTATATCACATCAGACCTTATACATCCACTGGTGAAACATAGATTTGATACAAGACCATTACAGTGACTTGACCTCCAGGAAAATTGACTTAATCGCCAAATTGTAGAACAAAAGAAGGAGTCTATCTTGATTGATCAAAAATGTGTACAGTAAAACGGAACGGTGAATAGAATTTGAGGAGTGAATAGATACAGAAGAGGGGTGAATTAATGTTGGGAAAATATTCTAACACTTATCCACCCCATTCCTATATCTATTCACTCCTTGAATTCTGTTCACCCCGTTTTACGGTACCTCAAAATAAAACCGTTGTTATAAACCAGTAAGCTGCAGCAGTTCATTGCTTAAATAATTGCGTCAACCACGCCTTAAACTTGTAAAAAGAAAAATAATTACCTTATTGTACTTCCGCAGTTTCTTGTTCTTACTACTGCTCGTAGAATTGCTTCGAAATATCTTGTTGGACATCACTTTAGCGATCACAGAGTCAGCAGTTTGGATGCGTTCATCTTGCTCCCGTTTTACCATGTCTTCTGGCAATGAGAAGTCACTGATCTCTTCGAACAGACCTCCTGTCTCAGCGAAGTCAGATTCACTGGAATTCTTTGAATTATTGATTTCCGAAGGTGTCTCGTGTTTATGAATCTCTTGATGAGCTGTTAGATCAGCTAAATTCTCGCAAGTGAAAGAACAACATTCGCACATAAAGGAAAAGTGTGCTTTAGTTGTGTGTGATTGCAACTCCTGTGATGTCGAATAAGATTTTGTGCAGAAGTTGCACTGGTACATCCGAGAATGTATCTTGCGATGATTACGTAAAGTAAATTTTGAGGCGAAGACTTTATGGCACTTGTTGCATTCTAGATCGGGGTCGCCGTGTCCGCGGCAGTGTTGCTCAAACTTTTCTTGGTTTTTTAGATTTTTGCCGCAGTCGGTGCACATGAACTTTACGTTTGAGGAGACGTCGTATAAGTTTGAGAGCCGGTGGTTGCCGACCATGTGTTGCTTGAAGGCGGACAGTTGATCAAATATCTGTTTACATTTGTTGCACTGATACTTCTTTGCGCGTGGGTTTGTTGAGTTAGTGTTGGACTCGTCTGGCACCGGTTCTAAAAATTTCAATAATGTTTAAATTACGTAATAACATACAAACATAACGTCACGCTTTTTAACCTGTGAAGGGGTAGGTAGAGGATAAAGAATTGAAACTGAATCTTTTAGATAACAACGATGGGACGTATTGACGGTCATTTAACATAACATGACGACTTTTATTCTCTGAAAGAATACTTAAGTAGTGGTGGAAGTAGGTCACCCACATTTGCATGCAGACCTTTGGGGCCACGGTGCATAGAGTGGACTCTAGGTGCCCATCCAGTGGCCTCAGAGAAGACAAAGTAGTTACGTGCTGCCGTGCAAAGTGACAAGGACACGCATAGACATGCGTGTCCTTGTCACTTACGGCACATGCCTAGGGAGACCCCTAGGCATGTGCCGTAAAAGACGTTGTACCGTGGGGCTCCGGAGCAGGTCTCTTTCAGATGACCCCATACAGGTTCTGAGGGTGGCCACCGGGGTGGTTTTAGTGAGGTGCAAATCCATAGTCTGTCTCCCCAAAAAGCTAGGCGCGTTCTGAAGGTTCCCCCCATTATCAAAAAAAGGTCACACACCTACTTTTCACCAGTTACTAATGAGTTTTTTTTAATATAGAGTGAACCTATATTGAGAATTTTGGAAAAACTGTTAATAGGTATTAAACCTAATATTGAGTACTTCTTATTAAAACATTTGCAAGCCGAATTTATAGGCCGGATATGATGAACTTTTGTCATGTTACAATATCTGTAAAACACTATATTTCAGGCGAATAAATGAATCTATTTACTAAAACTTTGCAAAACCTGGGATACGAACCCGTGACATCTTGTACAGCAGACACAAATGGTTGTGCCATGTTTTAATGCACTTAGTTATTTCTTCCTACCCCTTTTGGAAATACACGGCATGATGTTAATGTAAATAAATATTAAATTAAAATATACTTACATACTAAGATACATGAATTTGATAACTTAAATAATGCATAATTCATGTACCTAATTATTATCATTTAGGTACTATCACACATTATTACATATATTAACCCATATATACCAAAGCGGTCACCGGTGACTGCTTTCCACTAATGTAGTTAGTGGAAAGATATGTATAGATCTTATTTCCAATGTTTAGAGACTACTTTTGTACAAATAAATTTAGGGGATGATTTTCAACGGGTTAATTCTCCACGGGCTCTTGGTCCATGCCCTTGTCAAACAATTTTTATTACAATACATCTAATCAATATTTATAAACTAAAAAAAAATTGTTTTACTAAATTATTTATTAACTATTTCTTAAATTATTTATTTGAAACTACTCGAATTCAATTTAAACTGTCCAACACCGAGCGGTCACCGGTGTCCGCAACCTATTGTTCTTTAATTGTGTCTATAGTGACGGTACTCAATGAGTTAATATTCATTATAGTTATATGCCCATAGCTTAGTCAACATCAACACTATTATTATCCAGAAAGCGTTGTATAACATTTTAATTAATACATTGATATATCATCCCCTAAATTACTTCATACAAAAGGAGTCTCTAAACATCGGAAATAAGGTCTACAATGGAGTTAATGGAGAGCAGTCATTTGTGACCAATTGGTGATTGAACAGTTAAATAATATTTCTATGAAAAACTATTAACGTTATTAACCATAGCAAAATTACGCTTTTTAATCCCTGAAATGATGGACAGAAGTGAAACAAACACAGAGATAAACAATATATCAAAAAACTTACCCTCAGTGACTTCAGTCTCCATAGCACGGGCACCTCGGCACTCCAAAGATGGATCATTTATAGCAATATTCTGTACCGTCTGACCGGACTCTGAATCATGCCCTAAGAACAGTATAGTCTTCTGCTGCCTTGACACAGACTGTATGTCCGAAGACATCAGCTGTTTCAGTGCTTCATTGTCCGTCTGCAACCCAATAAATTTCCTCTCATCTCTTGCCCTAGTCTCCTTCTCATGGATAATTTCTTCAGACAATTGAGACAAAAAGACTCCGCATTCAAACTCATCTTCCTCATACATGTTGTAACCATTTGGATTCTGAGAACTTTCTTGTATCTTCTCCACTGCTTTCTGCTCTTCGCACACCGAAGAGTAACGAATAGCTTCATTGTACTGGTACACATTTTGTGTAATGTATGTGTTGTGCTGCTCAATAGTTATGTGGTTGTTATGAGCCTCACGTATAGTGTAGGACTCTTTAGGCGGTGAGTCACAACGGTTGTACACATAAGGACTCCTTGCTGGGTCTATCCATACTTGAGAATCATTGTAGGCAGGAAATGTTATCTGGTTTGCTTCAGTCAGAACCAGAGGTATGTTGTCATTGCTTGTTAAACTATCTGGTGATCCATACCTGATGTTGATGTCATTACCATCCAAAACCTTCACATTGCAGAAGCCCTGATATATTACTGTTTCGTTTCCGAAAGTGTCCGGGCATGAGATGTTCAGGTGTATGAATACGTTTTCCGACAACTGGCAGTGCGTTTCCAACTGTGTGCACACTTTTGGTATGAACAGTATTGGATATGGCGCCTCCACGTTAATGTTAGTACACTCTTCGCCATCCATTTTTCTAATTTAAACCTAAAAAATACCGAGGAATACATGTCGTTAGCAGTCCGAGGATCAATTAGGCACAAATGAAGGTAAATTAAGAAAATAATATCATAAAAAACTAGGATAAATAGAAAATGAAGGCGTCTTACCTCGTGCTGCTTGCGTGCTCGCTGAGAGAAAGGGCGGGCGGAGGTAGAAGTAACAGACAAATTATTTGAATGTGTTCGATTCTACCCTCCATTTTTGATATTTTTATAATGCTGCTAAGTAATGTGGGTAAAATCATTAAAATGACGCGCAACACGTTGTAAAATGAAAACGAAACGATAAATTATTGTTCAAGTTCACTTTTATTTACTTTCAATTAGAAATAACACAAAAAACTCAAATTGTAAATCACCAAGTTTGTTTTCAACTTTGAGTTATTTGTTTTCATTATAATACAAAATATAAAATACTATAAAATTGCACAAAATAACCTTTATTCCGTTGGAATAAAGTCTACACTGCAGCAGACAGTCAACTTGTCAAAAAATGACAGCTATGCGTTCAGGTTTACGCAAGAATGACCGCCTTGGACCTTGGAATTGATGACAGATAAAAAATGGTGAAATAATAATGAGAACAGACTGATAAAATAATTAAGTTTTTTTAGGTGTTTATAAACAAATGCGAAGGTCATTGGATTTAGGTAAACAAGTCAATATAAAATTGATATGAATCTATATAGGTACCTATTGGGATTAACTTTAGTGTTTTTAAATCTATACTTTTATTGGGAATTTTGTCGATTACGCAGTAAATTAAAATAAAATTTATTTATTTATTTATTTATTTATTTCAACTCTTACAGCTAACATTACAGGTAAATTATATAACCTAATGCGTTAGTGTGGCACCTTATATGACATTTACTTACATTTACAAAACTAACAATAACAAATTAACAATACCCAGACCAATAACAGCAACTTAACACTAAAACTATATCTACTACTCTAACCTATAACACAGTATATATAAAATAATCTTTGCGAGTTCATTGAACTGACACGCAAATACATCTATTATACTCTGGATTTGGTTAATCGTACGAATTGCTCGCGTCAGAGGCGTTTTGGCCAGTAGGTTGGTCCTGGCAGCCGGGACGGCCAGCAGCGGCGGGCGCCGGCGCCTCCACACATAGCGGTCCGGAACACTAAAGCTCAAGAGCTGCAGCACTCCGGGGTTGTGTTGCTTGCCGTGGAGTAACTTAATTAGGTAGACGACCAGTGTGAACTGTCGCCGCACGCCCAACTCATTGTATGACACCATACCCAGTACAAAAAGTGTGGGGTACATCAACGGGTATAACGGGTATACCCCATACAGTCACCAGTACAAGTGGCGCGCGAACTTATTCTGTACGCGCTCCAGCATGTCAGAGTACTTCGCTTCGTGTGGGGCCCATACAACCCCACCATATTCTAAATGACTTCTGACTAGTGCATCGTATAACACCCTAATCGCTGAAAGAAATACATAAATATTTTGTGTAACTTTATTACGTTTTTATTTATAGCGAAATGAGTGAGTACCTCTGTAGTAGGTACCTACAGTACGATACTGTACCTAATTTAACTAAATCAAACAATTTTGTCAATATAGTTCCATGATAGACTGAATGTAGTCCTTGAATCCACTGATCCTTGCGTACATGTCAGGGACACCACGAGCACACGTGAAGGCCCAGGATGCTATTCCAATTTGAGTACCAGTTTCCTTTGACATAAGGGCGCTGCCAGAGTCACCCTGTGGAAATAAATTAACAGCGATTTGTAAGCACCTCAAGCTACACAACAGTATTAAAATTCGTTGAAGTATTTTCTACTTTATTGCAGAAAGGTAAGGTTGAAAATTTAATGGCGAATTGGGGTATTTGGATGTGCATGTGAATGGAAATTAAACCATACCGATTCATAAAGGATATCCAAAAGTATTACATAGTAACCTTATTTCAAAATCTACTTACAAAGCATAAGCCACGACCAGTCGAATGCAAGGTACAGATCTCAATGGTGGGGTCCACATGAGGGGCATTGGGCCACCAGATGGAGCTCGCTTCAAGGACCCTTTCAACACAATCTTCAGGAGACAGTGTGGTCACCTCCAAGACTTGGAGGTGGAACGGCATGAGAGCCCATTGCTGCAAAAATATATGAATATCGATTTATTATAGTTTTTTATGGCGTAGGACGGATATGGGTCACCTGATGGTAAACAAACGGTCGGGACATGGGCACTAGCAACACTAGAGGAGTTACAAATGCGTTGCCAGCCTAGTAACACTTAGTAATTAATCGTCGCGGAGAACCTAACGGGTAACCGGGGCTCCGGCTCGACGTGCCAGAGAAGGAACGGGGTGGTTTTTAGTCAGTAAGAGTCTGACACTCCCTCCCGCCTCACCCAGGCGGGAGCAGTCATTCGATGATTTTCCCCCCTTAAAAAAAAACACTTAGTAATTGCAAACTCAAATTGTAGGTATGTTAGGCTTTCGTTGTTATGAAAATATAAGGCTTCGGTATGAGAGCTATAAGATTTTTTTAACTTATTGCTAAATGTTTAGAATAGTTTAAAATCTTATACTGCCTCGTTGGCCGAGTGGTCGCTAGTGTGACTGCCGGGCAAGGGGTTTCGGGTTCGATTACCGGGGCGAGCAAAGTAATAATAGGTTTTAAAAAAAAATCAATTAGTCAGTACGGAGACTGGAATTGTGTCCGGAATATGGCAATAGGCTAACCTCCTACTACTTGGGACTCATAACATAAATAATGAAACGTGGGTGTTACATTGTACATTGTACAGTGGCATTAAGTGCCGTAATCTGCACCTCTGCCTACCCCTTCGAAGACAAAAGGCGTGATGTTATGTTATGTATGATTTTTGTACCTGTTACCATTACCTAGTACCATAACTAAGTACTTAAGAAAACAGGTACCTATGTAATCTATTAAACATTTTAAAATAAATTGAAGCCCTAATGTTTTCGGATTATAATAATCTCAACACGATCATTAGGTACTAAAGAAGCAAACAAATTCTTATAAAACTATTAGGCAACTGAAGACTGCAATAAAATTCATAACTTCCGCGTATGTCCACATTCATAGCTTCTAACATGTCTATAAAGAATGTAATCAACAAATCTCCTTCGGGGCTATAAAACATGGCGAAGGTCACTGTTATACAAGACAGTGTAGGGCTCCATAACTTCCTTTTTATGGCTGTAATCTTAATAACCCAAAATGTTCGTTAAATATTATTTCTAACTGCGCAAATAGACTGTGGCTCAAGCCTACCAAACCAACCCAAAGCTAATGTTTGTTTAACCGAAGTTGAAGAAAATTTTACTGTAGTTACATATTTTGTTAAAACCTTTACGTTACAATGGTAATAGAATTTTAATTGGGGAATCTAGGCTGACCTGAATTTTGAAGGATATTAAAAGAGAAGTGAGCACAAAACGCTGCGTAGGGAGTTTGTTCGTCTCCCGAGATTTATTTAGGCACTTTGTTATAGTATGAATGTAAAAATATATTCTGGAATGGCAAGTCAACGATTGAATGCTCAAACTAAAGTTAATTTGTCGTCGCGATGTAAGTGCGACTGCTGGGCAAGGGGTCTCGCATTCGATTCCCGGATCGGGCAAAGTATTACTAGGTTTTAAAAAAAATCTTAGAGGTAGTACGGAGTCTGGAATTGTGCCCGGTATATGGCAATAGGCTCACTTCCTATTACATGGGACTCATAGAAAAAATAGTGAAGTGGGCGTTACATTGTACAGTGGCATAATGTGCACCTCTGCCTACCCCTTCGGGGATAAAAGGCGTGACGTTATGTTATCACGCCTTTTATCCCCG